AAGGGGGGCTGCGTGGGGGAGGGGTGAGGGGGCTCTGCCAGGAGGCCCCAGAGCCCCCAGAGCCCCTGCTACAACTGGTGAGTGTGGGGCTTTTTTTAAGTGCCAGGAGGCTGGGCCAGGGAGGGCAGCTGTGGGGGCTTCTCCTGTGGCTCCCCTGACTTTGCTCAGTGTGGGCTGCCCTGAGTAGATTTGGGCATGCTGTCATCTTGCATGCACATCCTGCCTGCGCCCCCTGGGAGGGCTGCGGGGCTGTGCCAGACTCTTCACAGGGGGCATGGGCCTCTGGATCTCCGCGCGGGATGACAGCAGGCTGCCGTCCCTCTCCCAGAGCACTGGGATTGGGAGGGACCTCAGGGACAGATTGCAGACACTGGTCAGCTACAGATGCCAATATAAGAGCAGTCCTTCCCTCCCTCTTCCCCCTCCCTCTTCTTAATTTCCGTTTCTCTGGAAGCTTGGCTCCGAAACATCCAAAACATTTCCGAAATGTTTTGGATGGTTTCGTTTAGTTTTGGAGAAGTTTCAGAGTCTTCCATTTCATTTCGGATTTGGTCTTTTGGGCACCGAAACAGGCCGAAACACCTCCAAAACAAAACAGCTGCTGAAATTTCGCACGGCCCTATAGTTTAGTAATAAGATTATGTAGGGCTGGGGCAGGTCTGATGCAGGTCTCTAACATGAGAAATCCTGATGCTGTCTACGGTACCATGCTGCTTTTCAGAGGGACTAAACCAGTTTGGGTTACCCATACGCTACACTTGGACCTCAAAGCCCCCCCCCCAAATCTTTAACATCTGTGAAATTCCATATGCTTTTAATCTGCATCCCAAGCAACAGGGGCAGCCTGTCTTATCTCTGTTCCCACTGCTAAAAAATCCCCCTTTACCCCATAACAAACTCCCCAAAAGTCAGCTTCCTCCATCAGCTGTCAGACGTTCCCTTACCTCCTTCCCGTCCACCCCAGATGGCTTTCTGCAGGGGAATAGCAGGTTTCTCTTTCAAGAAAATTAACACAGTAGGGTAGAGATATAGGTACAGGGAGAGGACTAACTTAGTGAATGAAGAAAACTAGTAAGCAAGGAGCTCGTGAAAGGGAGAGAAGGTACTACTTTTCTGTGTAGCTTGTTCAAGTCACATGAACCATAGAGACAAGATTTAGACTCTGTGAACTGGTTTCAGTTTTGGGAGAGGGGTGGTAGGGGGTAGGGATTGAGCCTGGGTATGGATATGCTTGTCCTATAATTCTTATTTCCATCTTTTTCAGGAATGGATAATCAGACAGTGCTGGCTGTTCAGTCCTTGCTGGATGGTCAAGGAGCAGTTACAGATCCATCTGCTCAAAATGTCAATGCATCCAACACCATCCAGTCCATGGGTGAGTCCCTTCTCTGCATGATGCACACTGAGAGAAAGGCAGCTCTCAAACAGGCTGTTTTTCCCACAGCATTTTCTGCCTAATGACCGTCAGAAATGGTTTGGCAGAGCAGTTGTCCATGGGACGGAGGTGGAGGGTTGCTACTACATGTTAATTCTAAAGAGATTGTGGCCTATTAGCACATTTGACGGAATGTGAGGAGGTGGTGAGGGTTGGTGGTGGGGGCAGGGATAGAGGTGGACTGTATGGTGCAGTCTAGACATGGGCGACTGGTGCCACCTTAGTCAGGGTGGCATGTGCCCCTCCCCCCCAGCAACCGGGAGGAGGGTGGTGCCCAGTGGCCAATCGTGCCAACTGGGAAGCGGCTATGGTACTCCCGGAAGTGGCCATGGCGCTTCATCCGGCACTCCCACTCCCTGACCAGCACTTGCAGGGGAGGCACCGGCACTCCTACCTGCCCCCCTTGCCCATCGCCTAAGTGGGGAGCGCAGCCTGTCAGGGGGTGCACCAGCACTCTCAGGGGGTGTACATGCATCCCCTACCTATTGCCACTGCATCTAGAAGTTTGGTGTGATTTTTTTTTTTCTCATGCAGCAAGGTGGCTTGGGGTGGCTAGCAGCAGGCTTGCAGCCCAGTTAATCCATGGAAGGTGTGGAAGAAGAAAACCCCAGGCCTTAATTTCTGCTGACTTCTTTGAGTTAGTGCACTATTTGCTAATGATTGCTTTTTCCCCGCCTATTTTGCAATCTGCTCTTTCTCTCGCCCTTTTCCCTTGTTGAGCTGAGTAGACCTATGAGGTCAATAGGTCAAACCACAGTCTATGCCCTCTTGCAACTTTCTGGTTCAAACCAGTTTTTCTTTGACTTGTTATATCTTGTGTCATGTGATCTGAATTGAAACATATAAAAGGCTTGCTTCAGTTGCCTGTGCAGGGGGCATGCGGGACTGATTCATAGATTCATAGATTCATAGATGTTAGGGTTGGAAGGGACCTCAATAGATCATCGAGTCCGACCCCCTGCATAGGCAGGAAAAAGTGCAC